GAGTCTACCTTCCAGGGGATGCCTCATAGTCTATTTGTCAATCAAAAAGCATTTACTGAGCACCCCAATGGTGCAAGGCACTGTGCTAAGCACTAACCTGGAAAAATTTACACAAACTGATGCAAAGTGAGATAAGCAGAAGCAGGAGACAGCAATACTATATGATGATTAAGTGTGAACCACAGCTATTCTCAGCAATTCAAGGACCCAAGACAGTTCCAAAAGACTCCTGATAAAAAATGCTATCCACCTCCAGGAAAAAACTGATAGCGTCTGAATGCAGATTGAAGCATACTTTTTTTCCACTTTTTTTTGGTGGGTTTTTTTCTCTCTGTGTTTTCTTTCACAATATGACTAACAGGGAAATATGTTTTGCATGATTGCACATGTATAACCTATATCAAATTGCTTACCAGTTCTTTCTCTGGAGGTAGATAACATTTTTCATCATAGGTCAGGACATGGAGTAAGGAAGACCTGAGTTCAAATCCTCCCTTAATCATATCAGCTGTGTAGGCCTGGGAAAGTCACAACATTTCTGTGCCTCAATTTTCTCATATGTAAACAGGAATAAGAACAGCCCCCAATTCAGGTTGTTTTGAAGATCAAATGAGACAGTCTATGCAAAATGCTGACGGACAGAGACACAAAGCATTTTGAAAATGCTTACTACATTCTAGGCACTGTGCTAAGTGTCCAGGACACAAATCAAAGTAACACAGTCCCCACCCTCCGGAACAACACATAAAAGGGAACTGGAAAGTGAGGGAGGAGAAGGAGAGAGAGATGTCTGGGGACAGTTCAGGGCTGAGTGAGAAGACACATGGCTGGGCCCCTCTGAAAATGGCGGCCCTAGGCAAAGTCAGCGACTGACCAAGAGAGGAGGCTTCCAGGGCAGAGGGCCGGCTTTGGTGCAGTTTTGTCTTCTGTTTGGTCGGTTTGGGGGGGGGTGTGGAGGGGTGGGGTAAGGAGGATGAGACAGTCCAGGAATGAATGAACATCGGCTGGGCTGTGGTTAGAAACTCACCTTCTGCATGTGAGGAAACTGTAACTCACTGATGTCTCAGGGCTTTTTCCTGCGTAAAAAGCAGCCCTTGTGTTTGTTAACCTACCTCTCCTCACTGAGCACGAGCAGCTATCCCCGCTCTGGGCCTGAAACGCTTAGCTAGCTCACAACTGAACAAGCCAGACTGCTTCTCAAAATGCAGACCTCTAGCTCCAAGGTCAGTCTCCTCATCAAAATGGAAAATCTGCTTCTGGAATCATCCAGACGCAAGACCAAGGAATTAATGTCAATCCCTCCAAGGAGGTGGGGAGCAAACAAGCCCGGGTGTTTGGGCAGGTGTCTAGTGTGGGAACACTAGAACACAGCTGGCAATGGACATGTGCATCACCAGCAGGGGACACCCAGCCAGGGAAGGGAGGCAAGCCCTCCTTCCTCCCCTGACACAAGTCAGAACAAAGCCACTGCCCTAGGCGGAATGGCCAGCTGGCTCCAAGTAGAGGATCCTGGACAGGAACTTCAGAGGAGCCCCCGCCAAGGAGAGCTGGGTGGGTGGCTTGCCAGTGGCCTGTGGGATCCGCCTGCCTCCACTGAGTGTGATCAGGTTCAATTTTTCAGAAGCAATCAATATCACCTGATGGAAACCCCAAAGAGAAGAGGGACAAAGTGGGGTCAGCCTCCGCTGCAGAAGTACTGTCCTGTGTAGTCTCCTGGGCCATGCCAGTTAATGCACGATAGGGTTATGGATGGTAAACACACACCCAGGGAACATAATGCCCTGGCACTGACTCTCCTCAGAAGATCTCAAATGTGCCAAGTAAACGAATTACATGTAAGTCAGAAAGGACCAAGCAGGCCCTGGGAAGAATTCCTTTTCGATGTGGCTCCCTGAACCTCCCCCAGGCCCAGTTATCTTTTGGCTCCCTAAGGAAATGTTTTGCTTTACATAATCTCTGGCGTTTCAGTTACTTGAGAACAATAACAAAATGTTAGTTTAACCTCCAGTTAGAGAGCTAAAGACTTTATAACAAAAGATTATGGGCAGAACAGCAGGAACGAGACCCAAGGGAGGGATGAGGTAAGGGGAGAGACAGGACTTTTATTCATCATGAGTGAATAGCTGGGGGTGGGTGGGGGAAGGAGATTAGCAAAGTAGCCTGAAGCTAGTTCCAAAATTCTGTATTTTGTTGGGCTGGCCATATGGCTGGGGAGCCAACCTCAGAACGCAAAGGAAAACCATAAGGAAAAACAGCTTCATGAAGTCACCCAGCTCAGAAAGCAGCACTATCTCTGATCCATGGTGAAAATGCTCTCCCCCAGAGACAGCACTGCTGGGCTGTGCATGCAGACCGAAGCATGCTTTGTAAAAACGTTATTGTTATTGTTTTGTTTGTTGTCTTTCACAATTTCACTAATAGGGAACTATGTTTGGCCCAACTTCCATGTATAATTGATGTCACATTGGTCACGTTCTCAAGGAGGGGAGAGGCAGGGAGAGAATCTGGAGCTCAAAATTTTAAAAAATGATTGTTAAAAATCTGTTCACATGTCATTGGGAAATATTAGATGAAATAAATAAAAATAATTAAGAAAAAACAGAAAACCCTATCTCTGCTGTTACCATTTATGTCCCCCAAACTGAGAGCCACAGCTCCCAATGCTGTATGAGCCCACTGACCCAAACCCATCTAGTCAATCACTCACTCTATGACACATAACCCAACGAGCCTGTGTTTGGCTCCTTTCAGGACGGGTCAGAAGCTGACAGGAGGTTACCGGAGGCTTAACTGAAGCATCAGCAACGATGGGAAATGAACGAAAAAACCAAAGGAAGCAGAGCTGAGTGCCTTTCAAATTCACCTCCAGAAAGGTTTTTAAAACTTAAAAAATGAACTACAAACAATCCCATCCTTCAAATGCTATTCCCATGCCTCCAGCGGGTCCCATCAGCCAGTGACTGCCCTGAGGCGCGCGTGCACTCACACACACACACACACACACACACACACACACACACACACACACACACTCTCACACACACACAGAGAATGGTGAATGCTTTTTCAAATTCGTGAAGCCATGCTGGCCCTTCCTTAGTAATCCTCCCTAGCTTACCCCTAATTGCTGCCTCAAAGGAAAGCAAAGCCATCTAAGAGGAAGCCACCATTCAGAAAAGAGCAGCTCAGCGGGGTCCCCAATTCCAGCCTCAGGCTGCCTGAATCCACAGCACGCCTTGCCACAAGCACCTTTGCAATCACATGACAATCGGAGAAATCGATGAAGCTCTCTCCGAGGGGAAACACCGCTCTGAAGATAAACAGAAAGGCACTAAGAGCACCTGCGCGTGTTTAGACAAAAATTAGGCCACTGAGTTTCACAAGAGAGCCAAGGGACAGGAATCCAAGAATCACTAAAGATCATTTTCATGGGGAGATGAAAAGACCTGGGTTGCCAAGATGCCAAAAGCTACAGAAAAACAGTACAAAATGGCTTCAGGCTGCAGAGATCCGAGGACGGCAGAGCCGTCAGGCACCTTGCAGATCCTCTAGTCCACTGTCCTTGTCGCCTGACCACCTCCTCCCACCCCCAGTGAACAAGGGACTTATGGGAGGTCACCTGAGCAGTGACAGGCAGCAAAGCTGGGAAGGGCACCCACAGCTCCTCACTGCTCTCAAAGCTGCTCAACAGAGGAAGGAAACCAAAGCAGAGCGCAGAGGTGAAAAGGCCCGACTATCTAGGTGCCGGATGACCACGGGGCTACGACAGAGACGGCTCTGGGTTGGGCCAGCTGGCCTCCGGAGAATGGGAGGACTCAAGTGACGCTAAGGGTCACCACACCACAAGGACACAGAGCTCCACCAAGCATCTGCTCGACAGAAATGTCCAGACCCCTCCCCATCCAGAAGTCAGGCTGCTGCTGCCACTTCTTATGGGCACTACCCAAACCAGAATTCTCTGGTTCTATGGAGCACCCGGCACAGATCAACAGGCCCTTCTAAAAGAAAATGAAGGAGACAACAGAAAAACATGACGGAGAAGCCCCTGAAATTCTATCTTCTGTCTTCTTAGTCATTGTTTTTTCTTGACTCTGGACTCTTGGTTGGGTAAAAGAAAGCTGCTCAGCCCCAGGGTCAGGGCACCTCATCCCACTGGCCTCTCGAACATTCTGCCTCTGAGACAATGGATCCTCAACAGGTCCTCCATGCCACTGCTCAAATGCCCATCTGCCCTGCCTTTCTGATCACTTCCCAACAGTGGAAAAGTGGTCCTACTTCCCTGAGTGGACAACTGGTGCCGTGGAGGGATGTCGGCCTTGGGGAAGGTCTGGCTCCAGGCTCATGATGTGCTGGGCACCGTACAGACTAAGATCAGTGGTCCCTTGGAATTCATGGCCTCTTGGTTTGAATCCCTAGAAACTAAGTGATGAGCACTTCTTAAAAGCTCTTATCTGTTATTAAAAATATACATTAAAAGCATACTCTCTGTTGTTTACTCATGACTACTACTATGCCTTTCAACAGAAAGCTATATTAGTTCCTGATCACCTGTGTCTTTCACAAAACTGAGTGATCTTTGGTGCTAACCTGAAACAGGCCCCTTTGCCAACCTCTCTTCTCCCTCTTAGAAGACCTGCTTATCTGAAGGAGGCTGGTTACTCGTCTGACAGAGCTCCAAGCAACATGGGAACTCAGTTTTGGTATAGGGAGGGCTGCTGACTGACCCGAGGAATCCAGCTCAACTCAGCACATGGTAGCTCCAAGGTCCATCAGAAAGGCTGAAGAGCTTCTCGGGGTATGCCATAGTGGGGATCTAGGATTACAGAGAACACACCACAGACCCTCAGGTTTTTTTTTCTGAGACTAGTTCTGAGAGTAGTAGATCCTGCCAACCTCGAGTCTGATGGTCCAGGACCTGGCCAGACAGCCCGTTCAGCTAGCTTTCTGAAGGGACGTAGCAGTTACCAGTCAAGCTGCCAACAAGGAGCATATGAGCTTACCTTTGTGGCCATGGTCTTCACCCCAGGAATTCTCCACTCTCCATTTTTCATATGTTCCCTCATTAGCATCCTGAAAAACAAAACAAAACACAGATAATATGGTGAACAGTCCCCAGATGCCAGGGTAAGGACTCTTCCTGATCCACTAAGGGCTTTATCCCATCTCAAAATACACCCTGGAGATCTGACTTTGCCTGGCTTGTGCCTAAGCCATGGCCAGATCCCAAGGTGCTCAAAAATCCAGGTCTCTCCCCCCAGCCCAGGGTCACCACATAACCCTCCTTCCAGCCCCAGTCAGCAGCCCTCCTAACCCACACTGGGTTCAAGACACAGAAAGAACAGGACCAATTCTGGGAATATTTTTGTTAGCCAATAAGCACCTACTGAGCTTACTAGGTGCCAGGCACTGTGCTAAGCACTGGAAACACAAAGACAAAACCAGGCCCCACCTTCAGGGAGGTTGAATCTGCTGGGACATGGCCTGCCATGTGCTCTTCCTCCTCTGAATTCCAACCCTTTCACCAGACACTTCCTCCACTACTTTGTACTGGAATTAAGAGTACTTAAATATGGCATGTATTTGTATAAATAACTTGGTTCCCCAGACAAATGTAAGCTCTTGGAGGAAAAAGTTTCTGTCCTATCTGCCAAGGTCTCTTTGCACACAGTCAGAACTTCATGAGCCTTAGATTTATGACTGAATGAATGACTTCGCCCTACTGAGCAGCTGGGGAGGCTGGCCTGTGAGCTTCCTCCCCAAGGCTGCAGGCTGTTCTGCAAGGGCCCTGAGGATGTACCTTATCTACCTGTTGAAGACAAAAGTTATCTTTGAAACACTCTAGATTCTCTGGAGGGGAAACCCCCCCCCCCAGACCCCAACTAACAATGTCATGAACCAAATGCAATCTGTGCCTATACATCTGGTACAAAACCAGATGGGGACTCGCCTTAAAGCCAGGAAGACCTGGGTTCAAGTTCTGCCTCGGACACATCTTGGCGGTGACCTTGGGCATATCATTTAAGCTCTTAGCATTCCAGGCAACTCTCCAGATTGTATACTGCAGGGAAGGGGCCAACCAGTACTGGTGGAGGGCCTTCACTACCCCAGGGAAATCACAAGCCCTGGCGGGTAAGTCACTTGAAGCTAGATTTGATCTGCATAGACTGTAAAGATAAAGGAGGGGAAACAGAACATGTTCCTTCTTCCTAAGGGTTTTATTTCGGGCTCTGTCCTGGTGAATTCCTGCCCAACTACCTCTGGAGATGTACTGGGCTTACCACCCACATTCTGACAAGGGTCTGCCTTTCCCCTAAGGGAGCTGAGTGCCAACATTCTCCAGCACCTTCCTTCCCTGGTGGCATTTATACAAACACTGAACAGAACTCAACCAAAGTCAAAAAGGTGCAACTTAAACAAAAGATCCAGTCAAAGAGAATAATGTTCAATCCTCTAGATCCTCTCTTCCCATCACTGTTTTAAGCAAATAAATGCCACCTTTCATCTTCTCTAAAGAAGGAGGCAAAGCCCCATGGGCCTGGCACTGGCCTCTCGGTCCTTCCTCAGAACTGATTTATATATGATGGCAGAGAAAAGTGGAAGGCTCTCCCTCGGGGCAAAGTCTTTTTCTCTGTACTATGCCCCTCCTCCCCCTCGCCTCCCCTCAGAAATTCAGACATTTCAGCAGGAGGTATAGCTCCAGACCTCCTTGTCCTTCAACACTCACTTAGGGACAGGCTTCCTTTGTGAGGCTGTGGTTTTCCTTCGGTGGGCCTGACCTCACGGCCTTTTTCAGATGCCACACACCATCCCAGGATCAGCAACAGCCAGTGACCTTCTATGTAGAAGAGTCATGCGCTAAGGGCCCTTAGGAAACACTCCTTACTAGCCCTTGTACTCAGCCCAAAGATGCTCTCAAAAGCTAGAAAAGCTAGCAAGTGACGCCCCCGTGCTTCCTGCTGACATAATGAACGAGTACAGGGTGCTAGGGACCATCCTCCTTACTGAGCCTTCATCTCAATGATCCTTTTTTACCTTCCTTCAGCATTTCTACAGGTGGCAACAGCTGAGCTACTTGAATGTCAGGTAAAGACTAAAAACCTCTCCTGCCTTTCCTTGGCTAACAACTCACGGGGTAACTGACCACTGACCTTGGACGAGTCACTTAACCTGAAGGAAGGAGGACAAGAAGGAAGCGGGGGGAAGGGGGAAGAATGGAAGGAGACAGGGAGGGAAGGAAGGAGGGAGAGAGGGAAGAAGGGAAGGAAAGAAGGGGGAGAAACAGAGGAAAAGAAGGAAGGGGGGAGGGAAGGAAGAAAGGAAGGATGGACGGAAGGTCCTGGCCTAGGTGACCTCTGAGGTCTCTTCCAGCTTTACGCCAACGATGCCATGAACATTTCTGTGCCAAACTCCCTCACAAGGAGATCATGAGAGAAAAGGAAAGCGGAGTCAAAGCCCTGTGAGCTCTTCAGAAGAATGCCGGGCCACAGAAACCACGCTCCCGGCACACACCCTCCCTTCAGCATTGCATTGTTCCTTCCAATGTGACAGCGCTTCCTCCTTTCCACAAAGGTGGAAGATGAGGCGGGGCCCCTCCCTCCAACTGTGATTCTAACAGCAGCCACCCTGCACTATGTGTGTCCAGCTGACCCAGAGTCATTCAACAGATCTGCTGAGAAACCTCCCAGGCAAAGCTGGACAGGAGAAAGACGTGGACGTGGATCTGGGTGGTTTTCATCTCTGAAAAGTCAAAATGACTAGACTCTAATGCAAAGGGGAAATTAGACACAGCAAAGAAGCCTCTGCCAAGCAAAATAAATGTTAAAAAGCCACACACACACACACACACACACACACACACACACACACACACACACTTTAAACAAGAATCTCCCTTTAACCAAAAGCCTTTGGTGGGGAGTTATAAATCCAGTGAATTTTATAAGACAGCATGTCCGAACATGTAAACGTGAGCAACTTATTCAATATTTTATTCATGAAAAATCGCTTCCAACCCCTTACTTCTAATGGCAAAAGACAGCTCTTACTTAAAACCTCTTCTCAGTGCTCAAGTCTTATGTTCTTTTGTGTAACCCAAATGTTCGTCTGCTATTTAAGTTATGGGATTTAATCTGTCTCTCACATACACACACACACACACACACACACACACACACACACACACACACACACACACACACACACAACACACACACACCCCCAAGCCTTTGGGAGCTTCAGCCTCCAACTTCTGTCCATGTTTCTGAAGCTGTGTGAGTCCATGAGCACGGCACCCCCAGCCCACCGCCACGGGGCCTTAGTTTTCATTTTCTTTTAAGTGTGAAGAAATCCCCTCAAAGCCAGAATGCCATTGTCTTCTCAGAGCTGTGCAAAATGGTGACCAGCAATGCTACCACCAGCCTGGAGGTTAATAATGCTATTGAATTGTTTGGCTTCCTGGCAGCAAGTTAATGCTGAAGAAAAATCTGACTCTTTACCATTATTTATGTAACAGCAGCTCACAGGTTTGCAATTTGTGACTTTACAAAACAATAGGGAAAACCTCCAGCCCACATCTGATGAACATTGGCCACCAGGTTACCCGTGGTTAGCTACATTAGGAGATTAGTTCTTTAAAACAAAAAAAAAGTAATCCTTGGAGGTAATCTGATAAACTCACTTGACAATGCTGTTACTCTTGCCTTGGTAGAAATAGCACAGCGGGATGGATTATGCCCAGTTACATGTACACACAACACGGAAAAAAGGCCTTTCTTGTCTTGTCTTAGAAAGCAATGAATCCATGCCTGATAACATGGTGGGATTCCAGGGCCACCAGGAAGGCCTTCTTACCCCCAAACATGCCTCTCTCCTCTGTTCCCTGGGGCCTACAATGGCAGCTTCAATCCTCTGGCTAAAAAGCTTCTTATCTCCTATTGAAAACACAAAGGCTGCTCTGTCTTGATGCCTCAGGCCTTATCCAAGTCCTGTCCAGCTCTGAGGAGCAGAAAGAGCAGCCTGACCTTGCCTCATTCTGCCACCAACAGGCTGGGCCCTCTTGGACAAGTCATTTCCCCGTCTTTGGGCTCCAAATGCCTTGTCCAGCAAATGAAGGGAGGAGGATGGAGGCAGCTCTAAAGTGCTTCAGTTTTATAATTCTAAGCAAGAAGTAGATGAGAACCAAGGGGGCAAAGAGGTGTGTCTGCATCCCCACGAAAACAAAGGCAGAAACAGAAGCCAGTGCCACCCTGAGCCCAAAGTGGATGCTGTAAGGCCAAAGCAGAAGCTGCCCCGTGCAACGAACAGTTACAAACCCCTTCTCCCTCTATAACCTTAGCCCCAATAACAACACTCCGCAACGGGCCACAGCTCAGCAGGTACTGGGGCCCAGAGTATTCTGTAAGCCTAGATCCCAGCACCCAGGGGCCTCAGAGACCTTATGGTCCAAACCCCTCTCTTCCAGCCTACATAATCCTAAACTCCTTGAGGGCAGACGTGTGGCCACACCAGCACACAACCTCACCCGGTGTTCTGTACACAGGGGCTGGTGCTCACAAGTACGTATGTGACCAATCAATCAACCCAATGGATTCCTCCACGGGAAACAGAGCCACCTTCTCCTCCATCCTCCCACTTCCAACGTACTCTTAGATGAGATCACACGTCACAGATTTAAAGCCAGAAGGGACCTTAGAAGCCAGAGGGTTGAGTCCAATTCTCTTCCCCCAATTTGCAAATGAGGAAACTGAGGTGAAGAAAGATTCAGTGATTTGCCCAGGGCCACAGAGCAACCAAGTGTCTGGGGCAGGATTTGAAACCAGTTCTTTCTGTCTCCAAGTCCAGGGCCCAAGCCACCCCACCACATCGTCGCCCATCTAATAACAGGGCTAGGAATAAAAGGGGTTAAAAAACCCTGTGGCCTCTCTCTAGCAATTCTAGCACAGGCTGGTCATGAGAAGGCTGCCTCATGAGACCACTTTTGGCCAGGTTCATCTGGAACAATGGATTCTAGAAACAACCAAAACACTTATTATCACAACTCTGTGGACTGCATCCCAGCATCCTTTGTGGAGACATCCAAAGGCTTTTTGCCCACTCCCCTGAAGAACACCAAGGAACCGGGGATGTATACAAAGGACGTGTTATCCTTACCCATTTCTATTTTAGGCAAACCCTGAAGCCCTAATAAAAGCAGGGTGAGTTGGGGCAGAAAAGGCCCACAAGGCCAGCACTTCATGCACACTCCATCCAAAGCTGATTTTAATTCTTTGAAAACAAGAACTGTCTCCAAGTTCACTCCCAACCTCTTGCAAGCCAAGAACGTCTGCAGGCTGGGCTGAGGGGAGGGCACACGAATTCCTACCTCTGACCCAAATTCCGCTCCTCAATTCATTGGAAAGTTCCTATTTGTGCCTCTGAGGACCCAGCCAAGCCCCAAGTGATGCAGGTGTGACATCCTGCCCAGAAGCCAACCCTTCCAGAACAACACACACACTGGCAGATGAAGCTGTGTCAGACTAACGGCTGAGAAAGAATTCAAATCCATCTGTGCAAACACCGCCAGCGGCAGGGGGCAGGAGGGCGGAGGGGCACGGGCGTACCTCCGTGACGGCCGTGAAGGTCATGGCGTGGGTCATCAGGGATTCACCAAAGGTCAGCCTCTCTGCTTTGTTCATGTTCTTCAAGGACACACCAAACACCAGCTCGTGGTCATAGCTACAAACAAGGCATGTTTAAAAAAAAAAGATGAGGACACAAAAGGAAAGGAGTGTTATCCCTAAAAATCCCTGGCCATTACTTGGGAGGGGCACGTGGAATCTCTAGGTATAAGAGCCCAGGGGTTCTTCTGATGTTCTCTACAGAGGGAACACAGAAGGCAGCTGGGCACCAAAATGGTCTTCCCTATGCCACATATGGGCACTTGCCAAAGGGCTAAGAGGCTAAATGTATTCCCCCAAATCTCAAGGCCAGAGAAATCAGAGACAGTGTGCTCCAGTGGAAAGAGCCTTGGCCGTGGACCCAAGAGAGCCCAAAGTCTTAGCTCTGACAGACAAATCACGCACCCTGCCATGGCCTCAGTTTCCTCATTTGTATAATGAGCCTGTGTGGCCTCTGAGGTCCCCCCGCCCACCATGCCTGGCCAAGTTCTTTAAAAGCATCGCCTCATCTGGGCCTCACAACAGGTCGGCTTAGAGATGGCACACAGCTACCAAGTGTGGGAGGTGGGACTTGGACCTGGCCTTCCTGACTCCAAAGGAAGCAGCCTCAGCACACACAAGGCTGAACTGAGCTTCTGCTCTGATCTTCTAGGCTCTCAAGCAGAGGTTCTCAACTGAGGGTCCGTGAACTTGGGGGTTATTTTTTTCCTTAACATTTTGATAACCATATTTTAATATAACTGGTTTCCTTTGTAATTCTCTGTATTTTATTTTACGTGTTTAAAAACACAATTCTAAGAAGAGGTCCATAAGCTTCCACAGACTGTCTGCCCAAGGGGTCTCTGACACCCACAGCAAGGGCAAAAAGCCTGTCTAGAAGGTGGAGGGCAAGGCGATGTTCCTTCAGTAATCCATGCCTATGGGCGAGCCCGCTCAGTCCACCAAAGCCCAGGACGCGACCTTGCGATGCGCCACCCTGCCCGCACTCACATCTGCATGTCGCTGATGCCCAGCTTCCCGTTGAAGTGTTTTCCCACATCGCAGCCAAACCACACGGCCTAAGAAGAGAAGAAAGGGGAAACTCAGCAGACTCCATCCCCAGATCCCCCGAGACTAAAGGAAGAGGGAGAGACACGCCAGGCCAACACCCACCTCTCCTTCTTTAATGGAGGCTGCCACCATCTTCTTCAAGAAGTCAATGGGCTGGTTGTTGTACAAGGTTTTTCTGCCACCAACCATATTACTCAAATATTCCACGGTGTACAGCCTGTTGTACTTATGCTGACTCCGGGGGTCATTCACTAGACAAATCTGAGGAGACCAAGGATGTGTTCATCACAACACAAACCAGATTACGTCCAGAGAGCTGGGCCAGCCAGCCATTCCAGGCCAGCTACCAGCAACTTCCTGCTCTGGCATGTTACCCCAAAGGACCCTGATCCCACAACCACATGATGAAATAACACACGAATCAAGGAAAGGCAACATAAGGAGTCCTGGAGAGGCCCCAGAGGTGGCCTGCAACTTGAACAAAGGGATACAAGTCTGTTTTTTTACACTTGGACTCATTTTGAGGGTTCTACCTCTTTATTTTGGGCAATGGCTTCCCCAAAATAATTCTCCCAAACCAGCACTAATTATGATAAGGGGGTGGTCCGAGAGTAAGCTCTGAGTAAGAGTAAGCTGACTTCAAAGAGCCGAGGGCCCAACTCTAAAGAAAGAAGCCATTAGGACACAGAAGAGGGACACTCCCCAGGGGGGAATCTTTTTGTTAAGTAGGTGGGAAAGACCTGTAAGAAGTGGAAAAACAAGGAAGAATCATGGCTACCTTACATGAGGGGGGAGGTCATTCTCAGCCCACTTGCTCATAATCCCATTACTCAGCCTGTGCAAGTCAAAGGAATCTATGGAGACAGGACTTGGCAAGGCCTGAGGGATGACCCTGACCTGGACCACCAGAAGTAAATGTGGAATGCAGCTCTGGAGCGAGTTAAAAACAAGCTTCCTTCAGATAAGGCGAGCTGAGCTTCTTGTCCAGGGGTGGGGAACCCGTGGCCTGAAGGCTGCAGATTCCCCACCTCTGGACTAGTCCATAGGTCAGACATGGACAACCAGTTTCCTGGATCCGCCCTCTGGGCAAAGGCCAGCCATTACTAACAATAGTCCCCAACCTTGTCCTGCACATTGAAGATAGGCTTGACATGTTCCCTGTAGAACTCCAAGGGTGAGATGGGTCCAATCTTATGGTATGTCTTATCCTTGTCTCGATACTCCCAGGTAAATTTGTCTGGTGGGGTGCCCAAGCAGATGCTGACCACTCGGAAGACCTAGCAGGGAGAAGAATAACGGATGAGCAACAGCCAGGAGGCGGCCCCCCTCCTCACTACTGTGGGAACCCCAAGGAATTTAAAGGTTAAAATTCCAAGTGAGACATCTTCAAGGAAAGCCAATTTCCCTCCAAAGGCCGGGGTTCCCACTGGGCACAAACCAACTCCTGACGTTTCCAACAAACACTATGCACAACACACTGTACAATGTCAAGCACGTAACTCCCAGAGCTCACTGTACCCGAAGCTCGCCCTGCTGACGTTTCCCATGCCAAGAAAATGGGCATCTGACCAGAACTGTGTCCCTGCCTCCGCGAATGATAAATAACAACTTGTGCTTTATAAATTATTTCCTTCCCCCTAAACATCACTTTCCCTCTGATTGTCCCAGGGTCCTCCAGTCTTGGCAACACTAAACAGTCCCCTAATAGCTTGGTGGCGCCCGCCGTCCGAGGTACATCCAAAGGGCAGTCTGTAGCAGGAAGATGAACCTTGCTTCTGATGATGACACACGGCCTTTGCTTCTCCTCACGACCCCCTCAGGTTCTAACTGGCACAGGTCCTCTCACTTTCTAAAGGAGCAAGTAGAGGCCTGGGGAGAAGGGCTTTGTTTAGAATGCTTCTGAGTGCGTGACATAAATTGGAATAAACAAAGTCTGATGTCTCTAATCTCACTGGACCTAACACTTAAGGCAATCCTTAGCTCCAAATCTGAACTCGACCTTATGCCTTCTCTTGCTCTAACTTCTCTCCCCAATTTACCACCAACTCTCCTTCTTCTGTCTCTGCCCAGCAGCCAGCACAGTGCCTGGCATACCGAGGACAAGAAGGGCTTGTCAACTGACTGCTCTTCTCTGTCCGCCAGATCTGCCCTTTCCACCTGTTCCCATGGCCGTTCCCCTCATCTGGGTTCCCCTCACTGCTGACCATGCCAGAAATTCTGGTACTAGATTATATTCAATTTATGTTTATACTCCCTACGTACTATAGGTCTCGCCTCCCTGACAAGACTATACTCTCCCTGAGCACAGGGGTCTATGTCCCCTGCATCAATCATCACAATGTGGAGGCCATGGCAAGTACCTGGTATTTTTTTTCCCCAATGCCCAGAGGTGTCCCTGACGTGTCTTTCCCCCTTTTACTCCCAGCATACCAGGAGAAACAATCATTTCCATCCTATCTCTCCTCTCCTTCAGTTTAAACTGCCCCACTTGGAATAGTGAAGAGCAATATGAACGGGACCAAGAGAACGCTGGTTACCATAACAGCAATACTGTTCAAAGCCCAACAGTGAATGACTAGCTATTCCAAGTATTATAAATACTCAAATCAACTACAAAGGACCTATGAGGGAATATGTTATCCACCTCCAGAGAAAGAACTGATAATAAAAGTATGCATAGTATGGTTTTATATATCGACATACACATAGATATAGACATAAACATAGTTATAAATATATCTGTGTCAAATGGTGGCCTTCTCTAGTGTGGGGCAGGGAGGGAGACAGTTTATAACTTAAAATGTAATTAAAAAATAGATTAAATATTTTTTAAAAAGATAAAAATAAACTGGCCCACCTGGCTGGTCCCACCTTCCTAGATGTGACTGCGCAATGCCAACCCTAGACTGCAACCTGGGCTGGCCTCCTTCTCTCCTAAATAAGTCAGGCTTTTTCTCACTTACATACACTTGCTTTTCTCAACTTCTCTTTCCCTCTGGTGTGAGGCCCAGCCAAAGTCTTGCCTCCTCCCAGAATCCTTCCTGCTACTGCAGCCCACACTCCATTATGCGAACCTAGGGCTCTTACAAGCAGGGACCAGAGGCTCTCGCCCATCATTCTGTACCGCCATCTCTCTTCTCTAACTAGATATGAACCCTGTGAGATCAAAGACCACCTCTGGGTCTCACCCACCCATCCCCGGCACAATGTGAGGCATCCAATCAACACTGGCCAGACCAGCACGGTGGTTGTCTGTTGAACAACCTGTATTTGCTGCAGCCCCTGGAGCAAGGGCCCAGAAGGGGACTTTTTCTAGCATCATTATAGAGTCTAACACACATTCTACACATTTGGCAATTTCCTCAGATCCAAAGACACATCACACAGGCCCAGAGGGGCAGCTTCTCCCTCTCTACACGCCTGGGACACACCTGGTATTTCCACATTGTCTCCCCCCTTCCAACGTGAGCTCCTGGAGGGCAAAGGCTGCTTCTGCCATCTTTATAGCCCCAGTGGTTCCCCAGGGCCTGGCACCCAGGAGGTGCTTCATAAATGCTTGCTGACTCCCTGACTGCCTAACTGGTGCATCCCTGACTAGACAACATGGAGTTGGACCCACCATGACTTGGGTCCAACACAGTACTACCATCATAGGCTGAGTAAAAATGAGAAGCAGTGGACTGTGGATAGAAAGTGTCAGCTTCAGAATCAGAAAAATCCAGGTTCAAAACCCATCTCTGACACATACAGGTTGGATCAGTCAGTCAACAAACATTTATTAAGCACTTATATTGTGCTAACTACTGAGAAGACAAATTTAAGCATGAAGAAAAACAGTCTGCCCTCCAAGAGCTTCCATTCTAAAGGAATGTATAAAAGAAGCTGAAGGGTGGGGGAAGAGGGCAAAGGGGATAGAGGTAGCCTCACAAAGGCATGGAGGGGAAAGTTCAGAGTGGGATCTAGAGAGGAATGAAACACAGCTGGTCTGGGCACCCTCCTTACACAGGCTTCGGAAGAGTCATCCAGTCCCGGGAGAGGCTGAAAGGACAGAGTATAGTTTCAATGTGTGAATTCTATGCGCGGAGTGAGCTTCTTGGATAAAGAGGTTTCTGGGGCAGGCAGCACCCAAGGAGGAAGGAGATGTGACCTCAGGCAAGTCATTAAACCTCTAATGGTCTAGCCAGCTCTCTAAGAGGACACTGCAGGGAACGTGCTCATAGGCACCGCCAAAGGTTTCCTCCCCAGCCCTTCCCTGTACCAGGGAAATCACACACTGGGCTTGTTGAACACACCAATTTCATCCTGTCCCCCTTCTCTCTGGTAGCAGGTAAAGAGAATGATGGTACCCACAACAAGCCAGCATTTTTCTCACACTCTAAAACAGTAACTAGTAGCAGCTGGTGAATTCTATTGGGTGGACAAATCCCCTTTGCTTTGGTTTTTTTTTTTCCAAATTTCTTCCCGCCCCCAACACCACACACACACACACACACACACACACACACACACACCACACACACACACACACACACACACACACCCACCCCCCCAGTTCTCCTTCCATGACAAACCAAGCTGGCTTTAATGTCTACATTTCAGAAAGGCAGATACCAATCACGGGTGGAGCCTACCACCACCACTTCCCCCACAACAATAAGTCGCCTCCCTGGAAGCAGTTAACCCTAATTTTGTTTGGTTCAAAACATGGGCTGCAACTTCTGTGGTCTCTTCCTGTCTCCAGGGTGACTTTTATGGTGCGTGTGGGATATTTAAGAGGGACCTTTTGGCTCCAACCAGTACTAACTAAATCATCCCAGATAAAAGAGATGCTATCCAATTCCCTGTTCCACAGCTTTTAATAAACTAGCTTCCTAGTGAGATAGAGACATTAAAAAACAATCTCTTTTGTTGTTCCAGAGGCCCAGGTGTGAAACACAACTCTCTTAAATGTCATTCTGTAAAATCACATGCCTGCCTGGGCTTGAATTCCAATGCAGGAAAGGAAGCAAGCAGCTAAGAGCCAAGAGAAAAGCCATTTGATTTGTGAATTCAATGTATGTGCATGATGGATGGATGGATGGATGGACGGATGCAGTCAAAAGCATGGAACTCCTTTAGAGATGTGTAGGAAGAGCTCTCTCTGTTCTGACATCCATTGTCACATAAGCACCAGAGAGGAGGCATAGACAGCAGGAGCCACGATTAAAGGCACTCTCTGATTAAGTGGGGGATGCTGGGCAGGCGAATGAACCCAGAGATCCCCAACATCATTCAGAAACCACACAAAAAGATAGGATTTATATGCCCCCAGCTTCAGGGGCATCCTAGAAAGCACTGTTCTTGTCTTTCGTTTCATTTTGTTTTCCTTTTCTTTGGGGCTCCCTCGTTTACTAGGCTTGGCTGCCTGCTTTATGAGCCTGCACAGCTTGTCTGCTTTGATGTTGAGTCAGACCACCCCTGAGCTAGCTTTTAAAACAACAATTCTTATGGGTAAAGATGAGGCGTGGGGGCATCCCACTGGCCAACGCAGCTGAGCTGGGATCGCTGCAGACAAGGAACCCTGCTTCGTGTCAGCATGGGACAGAGCAGGTGTCTTTACTCCAAGCCAAGGCTGAAATCAGTCAGCGAGCACTGACCGTGCCCCCGGTGCCAGACGATGCAGATACAAAGGAAAGAGTCAAGCCACAGCCTGAGAGGAGCTCATGGTCTTGTGAGGGAAGATGAGCTTTAATAGCTTAAAACTACACTAAGACTTTGAGGACACCCTTCATGGAGAGATGCTGAAATAGAAGCAAGATAACGGGGGGGGGGGGAGCCAAAGAGATCAGGAAATCAGAAAGAGAGGCTTGTCATGTGTAGCACACTGCCACCTGCTAACTCAGAATAAGGAAATGACACTTTAGGGCACTCATCAGAACTGGACATATTGGAGGGTCTGCATAAATTAGGGACATGTGGAGTAAAAGGGATTATTTCACTCAGCAGCTTGCCCACCAGCTCCACATGTCAGTCAGCTTTCAATTATCCCTGAGCATTTACTTGTAGCAACGAAGCCACTGACAATGGGGAGACCTGGGCTCAAATCCCACCTCTGCCACTTCCTGTGTGACCCTGGGCAAGTCCCTTCACCTTAGTGGGCCTCAGTCTTCTCATCTGCAGCCTGAGATGGAGCCTCTGAGGGCTCTTCCAGCCCTACATCTAGGACCCTGGAGCTCAGGCTCAGCCCAGTGGGCCCAGAGAGACCACACATTTGTGGGCATTTGGGACAGCATTCCAA